GGCCTGTGGCCTTCCTGGCCTTAATCCTCCTTAACTCCCTCCTGACCTGGTCCGCCATGAGGCGGAGGGGGTGGGTGGGCGGTGACTGGTCAGGAGCTGTAGGCTGTTGAGAACCCTCTGTGACAGTGGGAGGAGGGGCAAGGTCTAGCTGAGGTGTGAGAAGCTGCAGCTGCAAGGAGACAACAGACCTGGAGAGGTGAATCGGGGGGGCTGGCAGGGTTGGGGCTAAGGACTGGGTAGAGATTCAATTCTTTTGCCCAGGCCTGGTCTCCCGCGACCTGGTGATCATCCCTGCTTTTTCCGTGGCCCAAGATGTGTTTCAGGCCTCTCCACACGTACGTTGTTCTTTTCCATGCTCTGTTCCAGCTTCTTCCTGTAGCCAGCCTTGCACCTCCAGATCATGTACTTTAGTTCCTGCTGCACTTTGCTCAGCTCCTGCTTGTCCCCTGAGAAGACAACCCTCTTCTTCTCATTCAGCAGTGCCTTTAAATCAGGGCTCACCCACGGCTTGTTGTTAGGAAAACACCGTACTCTCCTGGATGGTACGATATTTTCCGCACAGAAATTTATGCAATCCGAAACACAGTGTGTGAGGCTGTCCATGTCCTATCCATGAGGACTACAGACGATGTCCCAGTCTGTGGTGTTAAAACAGTCCCTCAGCTGCTCAATTGCCTCCTCTGTCTAATCATCAAGTGTACTTAAAAAACATGGTCAAAATTGTCAGCCTGTCTTTAACTTAGCACAGTAACAACTTTCATGCTAATTGTCCCATAAACATGCCAATACGGTATCTAGGTGACAAATATGCACCTGAATGCACTAAATAAAGTTCACACACGCTTACACATATGCTTAAATCGGAGCAGATCTCTCTTATGTTTGAGTAGTGCTAATGTTTTACAGGGTATATTGCTCTGTCATCAGGTAGATATGCGAGGGAACAGCAGCAGGTGATGGTGACTTGATGGCCACAGAGTAAAATCAGCACCACTCTGCGCAGCGCTCACATTTTGAGTTGCAATATATTCAAAACTCACTCTTGGTATGTAACATGTTTAAGCTGGGCAAAACCACAAGAAGAGGATTCATTGTGCAAAAACTGCTGTGTTGCACCAAAAGAGCGGAGGTGTTCTGCTGTACTTCCACAAAGATTGCACCGCATGTACATAATTTGTCAGTTTAGTTCATTTGTTAAAATAAAGTTTTAATTTTGTTTATTAACCGTTTACAGAGTTACTGGATGGGATCATTTAGTCTTAATCGAACAGACTCCTTGATAAACTCTTCAACACATTATTTGTGATCTTTTCAGGTGTACAAGTGTGTGTTTTCCTGTTCGCTTTCTCTCTGTTATTAATACACAAGCAACTGTGTTGGGTGAGCATTTCAAACACAATTCAAACATTAGGAGCAGCGCAATAGAGTCATACACTGACTTGTCTGCTGTCTTCTAAAGTAAGAAGTTGAAATCAATAGCAATAAACATACTTGTGACACATATCTCACTCAAATGCTGCCACTTTAATAGATAAAGTACCTAGCTAACTATCTAAATTAGCTGAGCTCTCTAAAACAACAGAACACAGAATTACTTTGCAAGGTTGTACAAGTCTATAAAGTAGTAATTTGCTGATAAATCCTACCCTTCCCTACAGGAAACAATGAATCTAAAATCGACTGGTCAGAACAATTTGAAGCTAGACGAGTCACATGACCTGCTGTGGTTTTAGACCTCTCAATGTGGCAACTCTTCTGTCTTATGGCTCTGGGCCCTGTGACACCATTCTTGAACCCTAACCCAGTGAGACCCAGCTTTATATCTACACCGCATTTGCTCAAATTACAGTGGCTAGCGTGTTAGGCAACTTCTGCATTTGAGTCCATTCTCTTCCACTGTATGCGGTACATTTTGTGGCTACCTAATGCTCTTAACGTGGCATAAATAATTGCGCTAGTAACACCTTATAAAAATATACACTTCAGGTGCAGAGCTGACAAACACAAAGGAGGCCAGAGTTTGATGCTAACAGCTCCTGACATATTCACGGAACACTAAAAATATTCCTATTTACAAAGGGACTTGCACACTGGCTTACTTCCAGAGAGTCAGGCACAGTTTTACAAAAGGTTGAACAACTGATCACACAACTGGTGCAGTGGATTGTTAGCTGATAAATGTTCATTTTCACTACAACTGTAAACCAATTTGAAAATCAACTGTATTAAGATAACATAAATCTTAAGCACCAATTAAATGTTTTCTTTATAATAGTTTCCCAAATCATAAATAAAACAAGAGTTTAATACTGCTATTGGCAGCAGTACACATACATATATCCACAGACAACTAAATAAAGCAGTAGTTGATATGCTGTCACTTTCTATGAAAATGATCCTATATGGAATCTTGCCTTAAAAGTAAACTGTCACTAGGTTTTCAAACATTTAAATCCAATCCAGATATTATCATATTCTTAAATGATAAAACAATGTCATTGCACTGTATTGAAAGATAACAAAAACACAACCACTACTCTAATTTGCAGTTTACTGGACAAATTTAAAGGGAACATTTCTTATCTGCAGCTATGTGACCACCACCGTGTGGGACTGGACTGTATGTTTGCAATAAATAAACCACTTTCACGTTGGAATGTATTAAACACATAACTAAAGTAACTTAACACACATGTGACAAAGAAGGAGGCTGTACTGTAAGTCAGGGCTCTCCAGTCCTTCCAAAACAAGAAGTGGGCACACTGTTCAAAGCAGTACAACTAGGACGAGGCTCTGATTCCCAGAACAAAGTATCTCTGTCGTTCAGCTGCTTCACTCCAACAAACTCACTAATTCTGACCCAAGTAAAAGCAACACTGGACTTTCTTCAGTTCAGTCTGTTTTTCCTCTAGTGTCTAAATCAAAAATCATCAACTATTTGTGTAATGACTGTGGCCCAGTGTGACTGCAAGTCAGACCACTGTTTACTGGAGTTGCTGCTGCTACAGGCAGGTGATAAATGAAAGGAAAAACCTGAATGCTTTTCCCCTACAGTCAGGGGATCCAGTGGCCCTGTTTCATGCTGTGGTGGGCATTTTGCTGGCATGGTTTGGGTCTACCTGGGTTCCTCAGGGAGAAGGCTCAATACAGATTAATACAAAGTTGTTGTGAGTGATCACCCTTATCCTGTGATGGAACATTTCTGTCCTGATGGGAGCGGTCTTTACCAGGATGTGAACTACAGGGTAGGTGAAAAGTAACTAGGCATTAAAAATTAGCTATAGAACTTGTACTATCGCTGGAGTCATGATGAAAACACTCTCTAAATAGATGATAGTAAATAGGATTTCATACAATATTAAAGAGACAATGCAGCATTTTTGGAAATAAAAAAAACAAATCTCCTTTCAGATGAGAAGGCTGATATCAGCTTGTCTTCATCCAACAGATACACAATATGGCTAAAAGTATGTGGACACCTCAGTCCACACACATTTGCATAATTTTGGTGTTTTTAATTACCCGTTTTTCATTTCATATGAAATCCTATGACCCAGTCCTGTATCTACATTGTTTCTGCTCAGGTTAAACTGCTGTGGCTTGATAGGCAGTTGCATCCGAGTTGGAACCACGACACCAAGAAGGCTCAACAGTGTGATCCAGCATTGCCCAAACATTTAATGCAACCCACTGTACCAGGTTAATTTCACTTCAGTATCTCCAGCCACCAAAATTCAACCTGTGAACTCCATGTAAAAATACCATCAGTAACATCTTGCTTAACCCAGCAAACAACAGCCAAGTAGTCATCCTAGGCTACCTCATCTAAGCAACTAACAAAGCCTATTTACATACATAGCTGCTAAGCAAATCAACATGCTAATGTCTAATGAAGGCAATGCATGGGGAAATGTTCAGAGAAGAGAAAAGTCCTGTTTATGGAGGTGAAAAGGCAAAATGAGCAATGATACTGAAAAGAAAAAAATACTTAAAACAAAATCATAAAGGAGGACAACATGCTAGCACACTTGTTTTCCAGTCTTCTGCATTACAGGGAACCCACACATCTCTGCATCTCTTCAAATGGTTGCTGAGCTACAGTGCAGCAAAGTATGTCCTCTTTACCCATGCATCTGTCAAACACTAATCTACATTTACTGCAGCAGAAGAAGAAGCATCATATTGCAGTACGTCATAGTGACTAGAAAAGACTAACAAAGTCTGTAATAGTTAAACACCACTTGTCAGATTTTACTTCATGTTCTAAAGATATCCAACATGTTAATCTCTAAATTTCATCACATCTTTAAAAATGTCTAAAAACTCAGCAGGATTTTCAAAAACAGACTTTCTAATCCAATGTCACAACATTACCTGATTTAGATGTACAAGGTGCTCACTTCTATCCCTGATCAGACTCAAAAAATAAACTCATACATGCAGAGAAATAATGTATAAAATAAGCGAAACAATCAATTCTTTTCCCAGCTCTTCTCAATCTCAAACCCTAGAATGAGTCACCGTATTGACGCAGGGTGTCTCATTCTTGACACATGATGGTTCAACACGTTCAATAAAGACAGGTGCTCACACTTCCACCTCTAAAAAGAATAAATATTTAGTAACTTCAGCAGGGCTGAAGTTTGAGTTTGGACTCTTGGTAGCAAAAAGTTCTATGTTGCTTTCTTAATTGAGAGAATGTCATTTGAAGTGAAAACAAAGGAAAGATAAAGGTTTAGGAGTGAATGACATGGGGTCGTGGCATGAAGTGTGGACTCTGAGTTGGCATGCTGAAGCATGTTATCACATCAATTGCTTGTCCTTCACAGTATAGTACTGCTGTTTACCAAGGCTGCTGGGTGTTACACCAACGAACAAAGCTGTCCTTCAACTGAAAGACCAGCCAGCAGGTGTTTGTTACTTGAACACACACCAGAAATGTAAAAAGCATCACTTCCTGTGAAAAATATCAAAAGGAAAGACTTGAAAGTGTTACTCACTAAAAGCAACAATGGCAAGCACAATGGTGACCACAATGGATGCCCAGGACACCCACAGAGCTTTCTTTCGGTAACTCTGTGCTTCATGAGGCTTTAGACGCATACTGCTTTCCAGAAGACCTGCAAACAACAACACAGGGCACAGTGACCTACAATGAACACATGAATCAGAGAGGGCAGAACAAGGAAATGGAGGGAGCAGTTTCACTTAGTTTTCATTGACTTTAGACTCAATTTCCGCTGTGTTTTGATACATTTAAGCAACATTACTCACTACCTGCCTTTCACAGGTTGTTTTCACTTTGGTATGACATGAAGTAAAAATGTCCCAGAGTTATCCTATAAAGGGAACTTGAGGCCAGCTTTGGTTTTGGCCAGATGAATGTTGTGGGTGCAGACAAACATTTAAGAACTCTCTCTCTTTTAGCAAACTGAAATAATCAGGGTTGAAGAGCGCCTTTAAAAATGCACCCATTCCACTACAGTCACTGGTCTCCTCTTTGCAAAAGTCAATGTTGTGTTTTAGGTAGTGTGGTAACCATTCTGAAACCGAGACTGAAACCATGATACAAACATCCGTGTTCCGAGTCATTACCACCCTACTTTTATCTTGATGCTTAATTACTAAGAGATGTACAGACACACACTATAGTTCCTTATGTGCCAAATTTAAGATGTGGAATATCTAACACTATTTAAATAACTGCCTGTGGCTTCCAGGATTTCCCAAAGGCAGCCCCACTAATGTATTCCTAAGTACAGCACAGTACTTCAGGTAACATATGTCTCATAATGTCTAAGAGCTAGTGGGTATTCATACTCTGTATTCCAGTTCTACCCAGCAGTGTAAATAACTTATCATACTGATCATAACATTCACTGTCTTTTTGTGTACCGTTTTATACACATGGAGGACATTTATAGGAAACAGAAGACCCGCTTTTTTTGTATGACTTAACCAACTTCCATGGTATGCTCACTAAACATACATTTGGCTACTCTCGGTGGCATTACGCACATTGTGCGCCCTGGCCACCGAAGCATCGGGCGCATAAACTCTGAAGACATTTCACACAGCCTACCTCCGTCCTCTATGCTGTCTGTAATCTTCATTTCCTGGTCCATCTTGAAACCCTCTTCCTGACTTTCTGTGTTGGGCTGTTGCTGCTGGGGGTCCACCTGCTCGCACTGCCCGTTCACCGCCGTGGGGACTACTGTTCCAGTCGGGTCCGGGGTGGAGGTAGGGTCTGGCGCTGTGGAGTCCGTCATATTATCGGCGGGCTTTAACGAGGCACTCCAGAAATGTCACACCTGAGCGCGAAGAGCGGGCTTTCAAGTGGGCAGAGACCCAGAGACTGAGGGACAGCGGCAGACTCCTTTGCACGGCTGCAGGTCCAGCTGCGCCAAATTAGACACTATAAGACAAAATACCGGAAATTAGGAGATGTGGCCTTCAAAACAAACGCCTATTTGTCACGTGACAAAAATGAGTGACACCTCATTTTGTTGAAAATCGTGCGTTATAGCCCGGTTTGTACACCTGTAGGCACATTAGCATACATTTGGATCACGGCAAGGGTCAGTCATAGTTAGACCGATAAGGTACATCAGGTTCTCTAACCAAAGAGGGTTGAAAAACCCAGAAGGTCGTTTAAAACACCTACCAATGTTGTTTTGACAATATTTTCAGAATCTCTAGAAACTCTCCTAACCATCTGCATGAAAAACATTTGCACGCTGCACGATAACAACGGTCCTTAACCTGTTTCCAAGTTGCGACACCGTTTACTGTCCAGGCAGCCTGTGGGCAGCCGTCTTGGTTTTGATTCGGAAACAGGGGTGCAACTTTTAAAATGAGTTTACAGTCTTTTTATCGTTCAGTGTACTGAATATTTGATCATCTAGATGTTAGAGCGGTCTTTGGGTATTGTAAAAATACCTTCAGAACAATGGTATTGTTTGGTGTTTTTAAAAGACCTTAAGAATTCGTTAATAAATTTAAAGAGGAAGGTTATGTCTGTCACATAATTATAGGCTGAGAGTGACAGCCTATGAGGGGCACAGACTGGGGTAAGCATTATTAGCTAGTCTATAGATTAAAGTACCCTACAGGATGTAGGGCAACCTAACGTTAGTAAACATCAGCTCTACCTCTAACAGACTCAATAATCTTAATAATTTTACTACATTACCTACCAGTGCTGCTAGTGGTCGTATCAGATCACACCCTGAGTGTACTGAACTAAGGATAGGCTCCAATTTATTACTTATGATTTGAACTTTTCATTTATAAGAGGTAGAATGTGTTGTCCAAATTTATATGATAATGCTTAAGGGAAAATGTGAATACACATGGTTCACATGTAGGCTAATAAAGTAGGCTGAGGCAATAAGAATTCTTTTCACCACCAGACAAATGTTTCTAAGATAGAAAAAAGCAATTAACTAGGATAGCTATTTATTTTGAAGGTTTCAACCGGAACTAGTATGACCAACCTGACAAAAGATGTTGCGCACAGCCTGAGCAACCTGTAGAAAAATAATCACAACAGACTCCCCTTCGCTTAGTCGTAAAATAGCTCAGCCAGACGCTAATTACTAATTACTGAAGTTCACGAAGCTTCTGCACGTGCTGCCATAGGACAGAGCTGCTGCGCCGCGCGCTCGCGCTCCGCGTCAGTGGGGTAAACATCTGTCCCATGTGAATTGAACGAGCCGACGGACGTGCAGAGAGGCTGGATCCGTTACTCCATTGTCACGTACACTGCTTGGAAAAGAAAACAGTAATAATCTCCTAATTGTCGGTCCTCGTTTACACAAGCTCACAGTTTCTTGCGTTTGGCTCTTCTGTCGCCACAGCCGCACATTAAAACAATTATTTCCTCCTCTGTTGCCAAATCGCTGATGATGAAGAATACATTGGGGAAAATAATTCCTGAAACGGGTTACCAAGACACGGAGCTGCTTGATAAACATGTAGACTGATACGTTTATCTGTATACGGTAGATTAACAGCATTAAGGATTTTGCATGTATTTACAAAAGATATAAACCGTCTAATTTGAGTACACAGCAGGCCTGGTACATAAACCTACACTTTACATGCTTTATTAAAGCATTTGAAGTGGAGGGACTCGTACTTAACTAAGCTTGAATTCTTTCCTTGGTCTGTGCTTCCCTTTAGTGGCTGGCACAAGGTAGTGCAGACGAGGGTCCACTATGTGGCCTTTCATTGTACATACATCATGTCAATCCGCCATGGAAACATGTTATGCCCATATGGTGTTAAATGTGCTCTTATGCTGTAGGAAACACCGATCTGCCATAACATTATGACCACCTGTACATCTGTATGCACTTCACTGCAACACTTCTGCCTTAACATTTGTGTTTATGAAGCTCAAAATGTTTAAATTTTTGGTGAAATTATTATAAATGTATACATTCAATTATATGTTCATTGTTGAGGTCATAGTTAAAGGTGGTTTTGTACTGGACTACATTATATTCAGAGGTGTCAGTATATAACTGATTATCCTTATTATTATTATTATTATCTTCCTTATTTTTGTCCTGCCCATCGACATACATGAGAGGGTCAGAATATTAGGAACACCTCTGAACATAATAACCAGGTAAAATAACATGAGTAGGCCTAAGTGAAAATATACGTGTAGCAGACCAATCTTCGTGCTCAGTTTTCAGGGACAATCAAGGGCCCTTAAAGTTACAGCGGTGGACCAATGGACAGCTGTGCCCTCTAGTGGCTAATACGGACATTTCTACAATGATTGCGTTATTTTCTTTGCTGAATCCTGTAGGACGGGAACAGGCGAGATGCTTGTAGCCTACATCATTCTCCTAAATTAAATCACTGTGTTCAAGAAGGTAACCGACACCAATAGCAATAAGCAATAAGTAATAGCAATAATAAGGGCTATTCGCACCACCGACGACAGGTGGCGTTACTCAGAAAATGGATAACCGCTTTTGCTCATTTCGTTCTTCCGGTGCCCTCGTCAACCCCACTCCCTCCCGATGCTAACACCGTCGGGCTTGGCCGGGGGAGCGTAATGGCGGTGCACCGGGGACCCTCTACGAAATGGCTCTTCACCCGGGAGCATCTCGAAAATACACCGTCTCGACGCTGCGGAATAGAGGCTGACAGGGAGCTCTCTTACCGGCAGCAGGCCGCCAACTTGATCCAAGATATAGGCCAGAGACTCAACGTGTATCCTTATGAATCGCAAATGCTAGCTAGCCGACAGACGGTTTAGCTCGAATAAACATGGCAAATCTTGTTACAGTTCATACTTTTAACCCCCGAAACACACGTACACTGTGTGCTGATCGTGTATAGATTTGTCCCTGATACAACGGGGCATTTATCTCGTCTAATTGGGTGTTTCCCTCCCTCTTAGAGGCGCTGAGGCCTGCTTGCTAGCTTAGCTATTGTGTGTCTTTAGACTGCAGAATCTATTGTTATCTTTGTGTCAAATAATAACCTTACCAGTAATCCGTGAGTACTGATACTGGTTAGATGTGCCGTATAAACCTAGTATCAGGTTACAAATGTACATCTACATCGTTGGTGAAGTTAAAGATAATGACTTGATCCTGCGCTTGGTTGTAACTTGAAGGATGCACGTTTTGCTGGCTGTCCACTCGGCACTAGCTAGATGCTACTGTGCCAAGGTTTCTGCACTAAAGCTGTTGCAGTCTAAGGGTTTTAACTGATTGTCATCCGTGCAGTATACCTTAACAGTATACCCAGCTCTCAACTGATTATAAACACTGCAATAGTATATATGCACAGATTTTATATGATTCACTCCTTCACCAAATTCCATAGAAATGTAAGTACCACAGCAGTTTTAGCTGGTGCTATAATTACTGGTGGTGATACCTGCTATGAAACGTGACCGAGGTTCTCTCTTTATAGATTATTTCACAGACCACGTTATTCCTAGCAGCTAAAGTTGAGGAGCAGCCCAGGAAGCTGGAACATGTCATTAAAATAGCCCATGCCTGCATTAACCCACAAGAGCCGGCCCTAGACACTAAGAGCAATGTAAGTAAAGGCACATACTTTATAGACACTAGATCTGTGAGTTATTACAACACAATCAGGTGGCAATTGATTGCCTTACTGTTGCTTATTGTATTTGCCTTTCTTATTATGCTGACTTAATTTGTTATAGGGAGAAAGGATAATTTAATTTATTTAATCTAACTTCTTTTAAAGGCTGGTATAATTCATTACAACGTCCCCTCTCTTTGATCGACATCCCTGTGGCACAAATCTGTGTCCTCTCTCTGACTGTGAAAAGTTTTGTTCTGAAGCCTCATGATAAAACTAAAATTAGGCTTTGCATGAGCTGTGATATAAAAGCTTTTAGTTTTTGGCTAAAGCTAAATGGTGCAGGACTACGTTCTTCAAATGATGGTTATCCAAGAGCCTTCAGAGTTTTGTCCACTTGTGGTAATATTAATTTGTTGAAATGCTAGTAATCTGTTGAATGTTGTATTTCTAGCTGACGGAAAACCGATTTTAAATTCTTCATCGATCGATTTAAAAACTTTTTTTTTCTTTTTCTCCTCCCAGGCATTCCAGCAGCAGGCACAAGAGCTGGTAGCACTGGAAACGATTGTGCTACAAACGCTGGGTCAGTGCTCTCTAAGCTTCAGTACTGCACACACTGTATGACTGTGTGATATACGTCTCAACAACTGGTTTCTATATGCAAACAGCAGAATTACACAAGTACAACTCAGGCATGTTGACAGTTAATGTATGAAGTTTGCATTTTCAAATATTTACCAGATGACACTTGTTTTTTTAATTTACTTCCTTTTTTAACTAATTTAAACCTCAACATTGCACTGGAGTTGTGCGTTCCCCTTGCTTCGTACATTATGCTTGCCTCAGCAGCTGATCATTTCCATTCAACATCTTTATTACAGGTTTTGAAATAACAGTTGATCATCCGCACACAGATGTTGTGAGGTGTTCCCAGCTAGTGCGAGGTACAACCTTTTCTGAGCTGATCTTACTTTAAATTATTTCCAAATAACACTGTTTGAATCGTTAGTGACATCACCTAAAATGATTGACATTGCCTGCTCTCTTTATAGATCCAATTTTGTCTCATCATTTATTAAAAGTGTCACTTTTTCCTAGTGCAGGTCCCATTTTGGAACCAAGTGTTTCATCTGTACAGCTACATAAATTAAAATGCCAATTTTAAATTTACAGAAATCCTCGTTGTAAAATATGAATGCTCTTTCAAAGTATCAACTTAGGTCTAAATCCAGCTCTTTCCTTCTTTTACAGCAAGCAAGGATTTGGCACAGACTTCCTATTTCATGGCTACCAACAGGTTATTATCCTGTTCCCGTTATTGCACTGTAATGGCACACTATAGCTTCCTGTCCTGCAGGGTCCCCCTTCCTGTGTCCATTGCCCTGTTTGCACCTGGATCCTGGGAACCCCCATTGTGGGGAAGTACCAGCCAGGCTGCTGTGTGCGGTGTATTGTACACGGGCTTTGTGTTGGCACATAGGGGTTGAATGCACAAAGTGGAGTGTAGTGGTGCTGTTTACCTCTCCAGGTTGTTTGGTACAGAGTGCACATGTCTAAAAAACTCAAATGGTAGCCTGAATATAGATTGCCACTAAAGATTCTTAAACTTATGGAGTTTCTTGGTAAGTATAGTTTACATTGCTTTTTAAATGTTTTATTTTTTGCATATTTTTCTCCCCAAAAGAGCTAACAATGAAACACCCAACTACACTGTAAACTGTATGCTTGTTTGGTTGGGTAGATTTTTTTTTTTCTTTTAAATGACTATATCAGAAAGAAAGCAGTGTTACATAATGCACGTCTGTCTTGGTTTTACTGAGTCCCATTCATATCCTTATTTAAAAATCTTGCTCGTACAAGTTCCTCAAATCGTTCACCAAAAACTTGTAAATGCACAAACTTGTTCTGTCTTTTTGAGCAGCTGTGCTAATTTTATTCACAAAAATGTCATCAAAGAGTAAATGCAGGGAATGCAGACACTTTAGATGAGAGAATGTTACATAGGTGATTTTACACATCAGTGTTCTGCCTAAATACATGTTGACAGCTGTCCCAATGAGAGAATTTTTATATAAAAATTAAGTGTAAAGTTGTAGCAATACAATATTAAAATTTAAAAGCAAAGGGAAACCTTGTTAATACTGACAAGTCATGGTGATGGCACAGTGACCTGTGTGGTATTTTAGTAACTGACTTTTGAGGTGTTCATGTTATACAGAGATTTGCTAGTTTGACATGTGAGTCTGGGAGATTGATGTTCCCAGCAGAGGATGATGGGATCTTTACACTTTATGAAGTCTAGCTTGCATTTAGTTTGAGTTTGTTCTCAGCACAGTTTGCAGTGTAGCTTGGGTTTCACTAATTTTACACTAGTATGGGTAGTGTATACATTTAGACATTTAAAAGAGATTTTTGGAATGGTTTGTTGCTCATTAAGAGGTTGAGAAATTTTACCCCTCCCCTTTTTTAAAACATTTAAATCAAAATGCATTTAGTAATATTGCTCAATAGAGGTTGTGTATATATACATCTCCATTTCTAAATTACCATATGGAAGCGTATGTCTCATTCAGACATGTGGGAACATGTCCTAACAAACATAGGTTTTCTTAGATGTCCCAGCTCTGTAAGGTAAGGTGTGTATGGGAGTCTGATTGCCAGTATTACTTTACACTGTGAATTTGTTTGTATGTTAATGTTAAACTACTAAAATAGGTATTGGCATAAAAGCCCTTCAGCTGACAGTTGTAGCTTTCTGCTTTTTTTTTGTTTCCTCCTGCAGTTTGCATCTCACCACCTTCTGCCTGCAGTACAGGCCCACAGTCGTTGCATGTGTCTGCATCCACCTGGCCTGTAAGTGGTCCAACTGGGAGATCCCTGTGTCCACAGATGGCAAAAACTGGTGGGAGTATGTGGACCGCACCGTAACGTTACAGCTACTGGATGGCAAGAGATTTTATTCACTGCTTATCCTTCTCTTCTTGTTGCTGTTCAGTGGTATCATTGCGTAGCATCGGACAGCTTTTATCATTATTGCTGACATGGTGTCCGCGCTGTTTCCAGAGCTAACACATGAGTTTCTTCAGATCCTGGAGAAGACGCCCAGCAGGCTGAAGAGGATACGAAACTGGAGGGTACGTCTTAAATATTGGTTGGACAACCATATGAGGGCAGTACAGTTTGTCAGTATCTCGTGCTGAATTGCGCTTGTATGTTGTTTTGTAGGCCATTCAAGCAGCTAAGAAGCCGAAGACAGAGGGCCTGGCCGTAGACAGTGCCTTCCAGGGGGTGTCCTTAGAAAGCCTTCCTGGTGTCAGCAACTCCTTCTTCTCCTCCACCTCAACATCAGACTCTACAGACATGCCCTCCCTGAACACCATCACAGCTCCTTACGCTTCCTACCAGCCACTCAACAACCAGTCCAAGTCCTGTGGCTATGAGCAGTTCTCCCAGCCTCCCCATTCAGACTTCATACTGGTGAAACATGAACACAAAGCTGCAGGTGGGTGTAGCAGTAAACACCAGCAGCTCAGTGTGAACACTGCAGCTTTTTCACGGCCGCAGAAAGTCTTGACTTTGGAAAAGTACAGAGAGAAACATGCAGCAGAGCTGGCCTTGCACAACGGTGTAATGGAGGAACCTAGCATAGACATGTATTCACCTTCGCCAGCTCTCTCCTCTCACCACCATAAGAAGCGCTCTCAGCCACAGGCCAGCCAGGCGGGTGACAGCAGGAGAGAGAAGGCCAGCTCCAAAAAGCCTCGGCTTCCTCCTTCCTTCACAGAGAATGGCTCCGCCTCTAGTGAGGAGCTCAAAATGAAAATCAAAGTTTCAACAGAGCGCCACGGGGGCTCAGAGCAGGGCGGAACTGTGTCTGGAAAAGACAAGCACAAAGAGCACACCGGCCACCGCCACTTGAAACATGGCCACTCGCACACATATTCCCTCAGCGGAAACAGCAGAGGAACGATAGACAACACATCCCTGTCTCTAAGAGCTCCCAGCAGCCACTGCAACAATGGGAGTTCCTCTGGCTCATCCCGTAAGAGGCCTCAATCTGATGCCGGCAACCACAACCATCACCACCACCACCACCACCACTCATCCAAGAGGAGCTCCAGAGGAGGCCTGAGCTCATCCCACTATTCATCAGAGAGTCAGAGGTTGATGGAGCACCATGGCCACGATGGAACTAATGGCATGCTGACCTCCAACGGTCAACATACTGACTACAAAGACACTTTCGACATGCTGGACTCATTACTAAGTGCCCAAGGAATGAACTTGTAACCCTCGACAGGGGAGGGTTGTCGAGGATAAGGTATTACCATGTTTAATAGAGTTTTAAAAAATGAATTTATTTGTCTTAAGTTATCTGAATTCTGCATCACCCTCAGTCCTGTCTACACACTGATTATTGATCATTCTCAGTAAGTTGTCAGAAATGTAAAATCATATGTGTAGAGCTGTGTACTATTAGCTTACAACAACAACAAAAAACCCACAAATCATGAGATGTTTTTATGAATGTGGCTGGGAAAAGGGGATTTTAAATGTTCTTTTAAAGCAAACTGACATTTTAACGTGCATGTTTTCAGTCACAAAAGGGAAGCCGGCTAGTGTTTGTAGCCACATGACAGTTTACAATTTTTTTTGTTGTTGTTAAGACATTGTTCCACCAAAAAAAATCTCAGGTCTTGAACTTTTTGATAAAAGAACAGATCTTCCTCTGTTTGGGTTTATTACCTATATCTGTGGAGATGTATCACCTCGTCTGTTTGCTGACGAAGACGACAGAACCTTGGCATCTGTCTAATGAATTATGGTCTTATTATTTAACAAGTGCATCCAAAAAAAGAAAATCACTTGAGGCAGGCTCCATTTGCTGTCTACTGGGACTTCCAAGGCTGCACCTGAACTTAATGTGCAGACTCATTCTATAGCCACAGTTAAAGGTTTACGTTACATCTGCTGTGAAAGTGCATTTAAGATAAATCAGCTAAAGTTGCAAAAAGGCCTTGTGATTGTACTTGTCAATTTCTATTCAATATGATAAATGTTAACTATCAGAAAATACAGATCTCTAAAGTAACTGTGTATATAGGACTGTAGTTCAGTTTTCACCTGTTGGTTTACTGCATCAGTCCAAACTTCATTTCAATGTATCACGAGATCTGAGGCAGACTGTATTGATGAACATACCCTTGATTTGTGCATTGGGAGCCCAAATAAAGGTGTAAAAGTGACTTTTACATGCAGTGATTATCTGTTCAGTGTCTTAAGTCAAACCTGAAACATATATTTACCTTTTGGGGTTTTTGATTATATTAGTTTGATTATATTTAACATAACTAAAAGCAAACCTTTAAAACTATAGCAGGGAGATACAAGTCAAGACTTTAAAGAGCGTTTGTGGTTTGTATTGAACGCTGTAGGGCTGCAACTAACAACTTATTTCATTACTGCAGAATCTATTGATTCTTCTCTAAATTGATTGTTTATTTTGAAAGTGTTGATTATATAAAGTTCCCAGACCACAAGGTGATATGTTCAGATGTCCTGTTCTGTCTGGCCAACTATACAAAACTCAAAGGTGTTCAGTTCACTGTCACAGAACAATGCTCAATTCTCATCTTTTTTGTCAGATCCAATCTTTTTGTGGTTCACTTTCATGTGTATCCAGCACCGATTTGAACACTGTTGACGTTCTAACCTGCCACACACGCTCGGATTTAACTGAAATGCGAGTTGTACACACAAGACTAATGGCATCAAATTGCACAAGTTCCTCAAAAACTGCTTGGCTAGAGGTTCAGTACATATACACATTAGTGTAGTGTGACATGATTTCACAAAAAGTACACCCTCAGACTTTTTTGCTGACCGTTTTCTGAGAAAACATTTTTCTATATTTGATTTGACGTGCCTGTGATATCTGAACATTCGTCACTCCCTGACTGACCTTACAAAATCAACGCAGAGCACTTTGGATCACTTTGACTCACCGTCAAGTAAAAAACAAAAAGATGCAAGGCTTTGTGCTAATTTAAGTCCCTTATTTTGGCCTTGAAAGGACACCTGGAATGCAAAAATGTAAAGAACTGCCAAATCATGCAGATGGTTTAATCCCTGCCTCATAACGTTGGATTTCTCTCCCCTACTGAGTGTAAGCTGTTTGAAGATAAAACAGCCATCTTAGGATTCCGTGTCTGAATAACTGTAGAAACTGGGAGAAAAATATTATCGTGTATTAGCTGAATTACCCATTTTTCTTTTTTGCTCTAATAAAAGAAAAAAGCAGGAAAGACTTGTCAGTGAAACCTGCCATTTGGTGCCTCCAACAAACCTCAAGGGCCTTTGAAGGTTTAACTTTGGACTTGCACAATACAGCACTGATGGTTCATCTGGGGGTGGAACATAAATCCAGTTCCTGATAATTAACTAGCACCCTCAGAGCAGACGCAGCGTTTTCACCAAGTATTACCTTCTAATTTTAGTATGGAAGACAATGGGGAAATTCAGCGGGAAGACGTCAATGAAAATTTAACCATCTGGACATTCTCGCATACTGGTGGGAGGGTGATGATTTATTTTCAGCAACCTCTCAAGCTGAATAAGAGACGCCTACTGCTTGAAAATCTGCGGAGAGGAAGAGATATGTGAGCCGCTTTTGTGAGCAACAAATCCAAGAATTAAGAGCCATCTGAAAGGAAAACACCATCCAAGCTCTAATTACAACTCAAAAAACAGGGACATATATAGCTGTGTGCAGGCAGAAGTCCCAGACACAAATGCCATTTTTATCTTTATAATTGTTTCAGCAGCTAAAGCAGCAAATTAAAAGTTAAAGGATGATTAAGTTGCTCTTTAGCACGATTATTTTAGAGATGTTTTTTCAATCAAGCTGTACTCCTTTTTGATGTTATCTTGCTGCCAGATGAATGATGAAGACGAAAAAGATGACAGCATCATTTAACCTGATTCTATTTGGGATATGAACAATAGTGTTGGCAGCTATTTTTCATACAATTTCAGTAAAAATCCATCATCTCTGAGTCACAGCTGTTTTATTGCCTTGTGTCCACTAGATGGCAGTGTTAACTTGGGCCAGCAGCTGAACAGGAACAAACATCCAGCATCAATTTGCTGTTTTTACAAGAATTAAAAAGAAAAAAGCAAACAGACACACAGTGTTGAATAACCTTGAAAAAAAGAGGATGCTGGTTTTCATGCCACACGTCTGAGGTGTCTCTGCACACACTTTGTGATCCTCAGGTCACAACAATCACACATGCATGTGTCAGCACATACCACCACAATCTTTGGACATGATCCATCTAATTAACAGATTTAGATAACTGTCAGGTGGCGGAGGCTCAGAGACGTTTCAGGAAGTGTCACGGCACTTGGTAATTTCAGCGGTGGAGTTGATCAAAAGGCCTTTGCAGAGCAGCATGTGGTGCACTTATATGAGTCTTAATGCAAATTATGCCCAGGAAATTGTGCAGGAAAGTGGCATAATTATAAGCCATTGAAAGTCCATTGTCATTCCTGTCTGAGAGGTCTCTCTTGAAAAATCAGGAGCTGATGGAAACCCTTCTAAGTACCTGAGATAGAGCCAGAGGGGGAAAATGACTGGGCCTGGGCTGCCATTATGCCATGGTATCGCAATTACATCCAATGATTGGCAGGAGCATAAATTAGCCTCTGTCTTCATGGGGTGGTTATGTTTCCAGCCAGAGCTAAGGTATCCCTTTTTCACATGGTTAAAAAAATCAGCAACACTCTCTATCCAGCTGTTCACAGTGAAAAACAGGATATTATTTTGCTGTTTTCCTCTCTAATTATTCCCTTTACTACCCTAGTTTATTTCTACGCCCAATGCAAATGCATCCTCTGGCGGCCTGAACACCAGAGATTCATGTTTGTGGTGGGAACCGTAGAGCACCAGCTGTCCTTTAAAAAGGGAAAAGCTACAGAAAAAAATACAGTTGATGTGAAATGTCTTCCTCCCTTCTCGTCCCCAATCATCAATAATTCACTGGCTTCGACATTTGAACTAATTATGGTGCACCAACGGCCTATTTGAGCAGGGTCCTGTCAGATGAAAGCTGCTAGGTCCTTCCTGTCAGCGGTGGAGGCAGGAGGATGAAGCGACAGAGGTGGAGGCTGAAGCCATTAAAATGAATGGAAAGCTCCTCTAACACTCATACACCTCTGACACACATACACACACAAGCACAACCAGGAAGTGCTGCCTCAAATACACACACTCATAGCTCACAAAAACTAAGGAAAAAAACATGAATTGCTTCCTTACACACCCACACTTATACAGACACATAGAGACATACATAAACATGATGTGCTACAGTAGCTCACATGCACATAAACACACAGTGACTTGCCCACCACCTGTGTGGGTTGTTTGGCCTCCTCATCCAGACCTCTCTGGTTTTAATTAGCCTGCTGCTGAAGTGTTTTCCTTTCTATACTCTCTGAAGGGCGACGATAACGGCTACAGCTGAGATGGAGGCTCTCTGCTGGTTTGTTTCATTAGGGAGAGCATAATGACCCTGCAATCACAACACCAAGAAAATACCTACCCTAATAATTATTTTCCTCCTAATGGGTCTGTTTATAGTCTGCTATGGCTTTTGTCATCAGCGACTCAACAACTGAGAAGATTAATAATGTTAATTGTGATAATAATAATAATAATCACATGTATTTTTTGTTTTGTTTTTGGTCCAAATGAATTAAAATAATCAAAATGAACCACAGATAGGTGAAAACTAAAATGTAACTGCAACTGTAAACTCTCATTTTTACACTAAATCATGAGCGAATCTGACTGGCGCTACCCCTTCCCTAGTGAAAATGTGATGCGTATTAATGAATGAAAACTGAAAAACAATGACAAACTGCTGCCTTAAATATAACTGACATTTTTCTGGTGCTTTTTTCTGGCAGAGTTAAAGTCAGCTTTTAAAAAAAAAAGCACAGTGTCTCATTTTTACACAAAAACAATTTGATGCTTAATAATGTTTAATTAGGGGTTTAATTTACTATTTGTATTTTAAATGTGCCACTCCTCTCTGGGTTTATGCCCCAGCCTGGCCACCCCATCCAAAATTCTCTAGATCCACCCCTGCACTAAATACACAGCTAGCACAGCTTAGAATAAAGACTAGAATGTTACCTTCCTTAACTCATTCAACAACTAAGTTTCTATGGTAATAATCAAAGGCTGACCACCAACTAAAGAGACAAACCAGGTTCATAGTTTGATGTTTGCCAACAAGGTTGTGAAGTGAGTCAGACTTCACTAACCTCCTGGATATACGTATATGCATATAGGAAGAAGCTCTTTAGTAGGAAAAGGGGCTGTAATTTACCTTGAATTCCTGACAAATAAAGAACCAGACAGCTTTGTACAACGAAACAAGCCTTGATATCTATCTGGTCTGTTTATATATTGAAGCTAAGGTAGTGCAAGCAGCCTCAGGTAGAAATGCTGAGGTCAAACCTTTCATATTTGAAGATGATCAGCGAAATGTTTCATTCCAATGTGGACTTTCATCTTTCTTGTAAACCAAATAAAATGAAGACAGAAGGACAACATATATTCTGTTCTCCTTTCTTAACCTAACCTTCTTGACCCTATTTCCAAATTGATTGGCAAGTTCGCTTCTAACGATGTTGGATGATAATGTAATGATGAGCTACCATCAGCCAGTTCTGGTACATCCTGTACTTAACACCACAGGAGCAGCTGTTTGGATCGCCAGGTTTCTGTGGGAGATACAGTGTCATCAGCATAGCAGGGAAACAAAGCATTATGGATTATGCTGCTGAGTGGGAGTATGAGGGGGAGGATGAGTTGGTTATTGAGAAAGCTGAATTGGAAAGGTAGGAGTCAAGCCTTTCCAAAGCTGGATTTGGGTCGACAGAGCATAGAAATCTGGTTCTCTGTGTTCGCAGCAGCAGAGTGTAGTGAGGATGCTGGCAATGGTGTATCTGAAGGTAAAGCAACACAGATGAAAATAGTGACTGGTTTTGAGATGTACAGTATGTTGCTTTCTGTACAGTGTACTGCGTTGCATGTTGTTCTGCTTCCTGCCACTAGGGACACTGTGTTCACGGGTTTTCTACGTCTCCTGTTCGTACTGTCGTGCTGCTATGCTACAGATCACCAATAAACAGTTGTTAAATGCAAGCCATCCTCTCCTGATTACTGGCCATCCACCAC